GGAACCATTGGTCCCATTGTTTGTTTTCTCCTCTAGATTGTTTTCCCGCCTATCTTATCTCGATAGACCTGCAGAGATAATAATATGCACAAAAACAAGACAGAGCAAAACAAAGCAACAAAAGAAAACAAAACGACCAAAAAAAGGTCTGTTTGTTGACCTTTAGGAATGTTTTCCAGTCGAGTTTGATGGGGTGCCACGCCAGCCCCAAAATCTATTTTTGGTATTCCCACTGGACTTCGTTTCTCTGTTCCCCTTGCTGTTGTGTTGCATGTCCTTAGTGTTTCGCCTTGGTGTGGTGGGGTCAGATCAGGCGCAATTCCCACAGTATCTCCATTGTTGTCTCCTGAAGGGCTATGTGGGTCAGTGAGGGATGTCCTGTCTCAGTGAGGCTTGCTATATGGTCTTCTCTGTGCATTGGCTGCTCTGAGCAGATATCATCCTCAAAGCTTGGTGGGTCAGAATGTGCTCCACTTTCTCTTCCTCCCGCTTCATTCGCTCCTGTGTGCTCTGATCAGACATGTCCCTTTCCCTGAGCTGTAGATTTAGTGCTGTCCTCTGAAGTAAATTCTTGGGGGAGGGGGCGCTGTCCACATAGTTGGGATTGGGGCCGGCCCCTCAGAACTCTCTACTGGTTTCCTGCTTCATGCCAGTATGTTGCATTCACATCTTGGAGCACCAGATTGGAAAGACCAAGATCTTGTTATGCGCTTTTCCAAAGTCCTTGGGATTTCTTCTCTGCTGCTTCAAAAATGGCTCATCTGAAAAGCCAGGATAATAGTAGGAAATTTGATCCAGTCCATTAGTGGTACACATACCCTATTTGCATAGTCCCAATCATTTGGTAGGAGTTACAGAGATTTTGGTAGAAGAGCCATATTAAAAAACTTCACTCTACCACATAGCTTTTGCCCTGGTGGTATACTAGCAACTTGTTAGGGTGTTAACTGTAAGGTCTGCAGTCTGAATCACCACCCACTCCACAGGAGAAAGAGGAGGCTTAGTCTTGGAAACTCACTGGTGCAGATCTGCTCTGTCCTATAGAGTCGCTATGAATCAATTTCATTCATAGCCATTGAGATTGAAATAGGAGAGCAGGACTTCCCTCCTGTAGTTACTGCCATCTTCTCCAGGCTTGTTACATGGCAGCCATATTCCCTGAGCCTGTTTAAAGAGTTTTCTATTGACTTGATCATTTTCTTTTACTTGGTTCTATTTAAATTTTATAACCCTGTTGGTTTTAGTGTTAAGTATGTACTGTTTCTGGAAATGTGTCAATTTATCCTAGGTTTTCAACTTGTATAGAGTACAGCTCTTCACAGTATTGTTATTTTCATTGTTGTTTCATTTGGATGTGTTGTGATTTCACCCATTAATTTTTCATGTTACTTGCATCTTCAACCTTTTCTTTTAGATTTGTCTGTGGTTTATCAACTTTATTAATCCTTTCAAAGAACTTCCTGGTCTTATTTTTTTAAATACTTTTATTAGGAGTTCTTACATCGCTTATCACAATCCATACATTCCTACAGTGTGTCAAGCACATTTGCACATATGCTGCCATCATCATTTTCAAAGCATTGTCTTCCCACTTGAGACCCTGATATCCACTCCACATTTCTTCTCCCTCCCTTCCCTGCCTACTTTCCCTCAGGAACCCTTGATAAGTTAGATTATTTTTTCCATATCTTACATTGTCCTCTGTTGCCCCTCACCCACTTTTCCATTATTTGTCCCCCTGGGAGGGGGTTATATATCAATCCTTGTGATTGGTTTCCCCTTTCTCCCCCCACCATCCCCTAATCCTCCTGGTATCTCTACTCCCCTTGTTGGTCCTGAGGGGTTTATCTATACTGGAGTCCCTGTGTTGCAGGCTCTTATCTGTAGCAGTGTGCATGTTCTGGTCTAATCCGATTTGTACTCTCTTAACACAAGAACACTTTGTTCTAACAATCATGCATTCTGTGATGCTCACCTTCCGCATGGACAAAATGGGTGCATAAACAAAGGTGGTGAAGAAAGCTGATGGTGCTCGGCTATCAAAAGATATAGTGTGGGAGGGGGGGAAATGAGGAGCTGATACCAAGGGCTCAAGTGGAAAGCAAAGTTTTGAGAATGATGAGGGCAACAAATGTACAAATGTGCTTGACATAATGGATGTATATATGGATTGTGATAAAAGTTGTATGAG